CAAAGTGTTTCATTTTTTTAAATAGCACGAGTAATTATAAGGTAGTATTTGTTCAAAACTTTTTTCAATTATTAACAATGTGCATGCAACTTGCAGACAATTGCTTAAATTCGAGTCTTTTAGAAAAAAACAACACTTCCTTTTAAGGCATACCAAAATGATCATTTTGGCCTCTATTTATCTTTTAAGCATTTTGCCTCATATCGTTTCATTTTGGGACAAGTCTCATTTATGTATGAAACTTGTTAGTTAACAAACCCACTCTAAAATTGGAGTCTTTTTACTCTAAAATGAAAGGTTGAAAGTCAAAATACTATAGAAATAAAAAATAGGGGCCAAAGTGAGTTTTTGGTTAAATGTCAAAATTCACTCTTGACATTTATTGAAACGGTCATTTCAGTCTTTATTATTTTTTCTTGTAGTATTTTGACCCTAACCTTTTTATTTTAAGACAAAAATGCCTCTACAAAGCCCCAATACATTGATTTATAGACGTACCAAACCCCTGAGAGAAAGCTTTTTATCAGCCAAATCGACATCTACAAAGCCACCATACATTGGTTTATAGAAGTCAGTCTTCAGAGTGGAGCTGTAACAAAGAAATCAAATAAAAAACCAGTTTAACTCGAATCTTTTATGGAGGAATTGAAGTCAGTATGAGTAACAGACTGTTGTTCATCAGAGCACAAGAGAACAACTGGTTTGTTGTCTTTAGCTTTGAAAATCCTGAAGAAAACTGGAGTGAATTCTTCAAGCTTCTCCGTAGCCAACACCATCAGACCGAACGGACCGATGGCGCCCTGCACTGATTTCTTTTTGGAACAAAGGACTTGAGGATCTTTCCAACTAGAATCAAACGCCTCAGCTTTGTCCAAGTTGGGTATTGCGAAGGTGACTACAACATCAGCCTGCAAAATAAGAGAGGATCAACTTCACCCCTCATTCAATCAATCACTTTGTCTATAAATAAATAAATAAAACATCAGAGGTCCCTGCACTTTGTATTATTTTTCCTCGATGTTGTCCTTCAACTGAGAAAAGAAACTCGATGTGGTCTTTTGATTAACGTTTTTTTATCATTGATCGTTACAGTGCTGATGTGATAGTTCACTGTATTAACATGGTAGTCCACGGTGCTGCCATGACAGTCTATGGTGGCAGATCAACGTGTGGATGACATGATAAATTGGCTAAATTGGTTACTCAAACATGGCAGATGAACTACCACATCAGCACCGTGGACCACCACGTTAGCACCATGAACTGACACGTCAATATTGTAATAGTCAACGACAAAAAATATTAGTCAAAGGACCACGTTGAGTTTGTTTTCTGAGTTGGTGGATCACATTAAGAGAAAAATAATACGACGATCACATTGATTTTTTTTCAAAAATACATAGGCCTCGGATATATATTTGCCTAAATAATATCCTTTAGAGACCAAACCTGAGCGCCTGTTACTCCTGATAGTTTAACAGGCTTCCCGGTTTCAAGCTTTTGATTGCTCTTATGGTATCAAGCAACACAGTTCTAGGAATCTACTGACATAAAAACATCCATTAATCTTCATCACTACAACTATACGTGTGTTTTATGTCAACCCAATGTCACTTCAAATACTCAATACGTTTATGAGATGAGTAGAGGACGGATACCAGTTGAGTACATACTGGGGACTTTTCTTGTTGAAGGGTACGGTTAGAATTAGATGGATACATCGAAGAAATTTTCAGGGATATATCAAGGATGACGTTTCATCTTCACACGTATTCCTAGGGTTATTTTTTAAAATTTAACTTAAAAGATAAAAACATATTTTTAATAAGAAATTGAAGTTGATTTTGAAGTCTGGAATATGACTGAACTTACGATAAACTTTTTGATTTATTCGAGTATGTCTAAGTTGAGATGTCTTCTTACATAAAAACATATTGAAACGTCTCAAAATTAGACAACGCAAACTTAAAGTATATCCGTTTTAACAAATATAATGCAAACAAAAAATTAGATATGAGTCAAATACGTGATTTATAGTAGTTACGAATTTTAAAATTTATTATATTTATCGTACTTTACCGTTACCCGTACCATATAATTTTAACAAAGATAATGCAAACAAAACAACTAGATATATGTATGTGTGTGTGATGGTATTAGTACCTGAATTCCAGCCCATCATTTTTTAACATCATCTTGCTTAGTATCCGATTCATTGCACCAACCCCATAAAATCCTCCTGTGCTTCACTGGATCAAAGGACTTGGAAGCATAAAAGTTACCATAATCAAATCTAAGTCCATCCCAGCCATCAGCCATGTCTGTATCGGGAACATACTTGTCTAGGTCCGGAAAATAAGTTCCGATGGTGTAATAATCGTATCATGTCGCGTCCAGGCTCACTTTCAAAACGTGTTTCACATCATTCCCCAGTGCAGAAGTATCCAACCCCGTCCTACCGGAAACCGAAACAGTTTAAAAATCCGGACACTCCCAGTTGCCTGTCCCAGGGACCTGGTGCAAAGGAGCAGGAGCTTTGACCCATGTCTTTTGATCCTTGCTCTTGAACAGATAAGCTACACTGATGTCGTTTTTTCTGCTCCCTACCAATATGTGCCAATACCCATTCGCTTGCCATGCAGTCGTGGGGTCACGGAAGGAGCTGCCGTTGACCTCATTTTCGGGAACCACCATCGGGTTCCCTTCCTTTGGCTTCTTCCATTTACGTAGGTAAGGATTCGACGGGTCTTCCGGTACGGCGTAGTTTTGTAGCTGCTTTTCCTTGGCGTCGATCCCGTGTAATAAATGATCACTTTGTCGTCTGGGAAATGATGGCTGAACCTGACCAAGTGCCCTTAATATCGAAGGGCTCTGAAGGGTAGATTGCAGGTTCAAGGGGTTCCCAATTCACCAAGTCTTTCGAGAACGAGTGTGCCCATGCTATGTTGCCCCACACTGATCCCTTGGGGTTGTACTGGTAAAACAAATGGTAGAATCCTTTGTAATACATGGGGCCTGTATGAGCAAACACATTCATTATCAGTACCATTACCTGCTAAAGTATTGGTTAGCTTGGATTGGTTAAAATGAAGCTAAAAGTACTCACCATTCGGATCTATCGTTCGATTTTCAAACCCCCCAAGCGGACAACAAACCAAAAACAAAGACAGAAACCAGAAGTTAGTGACAATGTTAACTTTGTATCCATCATGATCAAATTGAAGATTTCGTGTATATATTAGAAATAGTCGCACTTGTATAGTTCGTTTAATGTTTTTTTTATCGAATATTTCGAGTTATGAAAGAAGATAGAAAGGATACGGAGGTGAAGCATCGAGGCATGGATGGAGAACATACCATTGATCCAATGCTTTGGAGGCTGAAAATGGTAAGCTGTTCTATGGAGTTGCTTAACGGTTGTTGCGGCCAAAAACTGATAGTCCGGGTAAACCCTATGAGAAGCTTGGACTCCCTTCGGTAATGAGATGACAAGATTCCGTAGTACCAAACAATGAGAAAGAGACTTCGAAACCTCCATAGAATCTAATGATTTAAGGTAATAATATGGTTTGGTTATTTATAGCACTATGAGATGGGTAGTAAATGGTGCCGATGGATCTTCGGAATGTTAGCTTCCATTGAATAGATTGTACTACACTAAAAAAGGATTAATTATAGATATTTTTCGTTGCATATATCACTAAAAGGTGGATGTTGACCAGTTATTAGCTTCCCCACATGTACAAATGTTTATCTTTTCCATAGTGTCAGTAGTTTATCTCATAAAGGAATGTATTTTTTGAAGTATAATAAGTGATTTTATGTAATTTGATTGGCATGGTTATTGTTATAATATTTGAATCGATGTGAGTTTGAACATGTCATCGTATTCTTATCCTTCGATCTTAAGAATAAACTCATAACTTTGTACACCTGGATCGATCCCAATGACGAGCAAGTCCAGAACTATGCTGTCCGAGAAAATTTATCCGACTCTTGCCTACAAAACATGGATCAAGCCTGCTCCGGTGGTCGACCCTGATGAAGGCATTAACGCCCCTGCCTTCCGTGACCCATCCACTGTCTGGCAGTAGAACGACCGTTGGAGAATGGTGGTTGGCAGCAAAAGGATTAAAAAAGGTGCAAGGGCGCATCAAAACGATAGAATTATTATTGTATAATAAAAAGTAATCGAAGGTTTAAAGATACTCGTTAATTTATACAAATTATAGAATCAAAAAATAATATAAACTATCTAAAGATATCATCATTCTTTTATTGAACTTGAACCATACTACACAGTTATTTAAAAAATAATCTTCTAAATTAAATTATATGCTTAAAAATTTTGAGCCCATTTAGTTTCTCTGTGTATACTAAACTCTTTCTTTTACTTTTTGGTGTTGATTTAAATCTTTATTTTTCCCCCTTTAATGTTCTCCTCTCAATATTCTCTCCATCTTACTCGCCTAATTCCAGCACTAAACACGGCTGTCTACTACTGCTGATCGTCACCCAGCCTAATTAAAGACCCAAGCACCTTGCTGTGCTTAATCAAAATCGCCTCGTCCAGACCCAAATACAAGCTTCACCCTCGCCTCACCTTAGGGCGCCTTTTCAAAAACAGCCACAGAGGGAAGCATAGGTTTCTTTTTACTTGGGTTAAACTAAACACCCTTCACATTCAGCACCACCCCTATAGGTATGCCCTGATTTTTTACCCGGTTTTGTTATCTGGTAAACAAAGTTTGGACACACCTGTGGCGGGAAAAAGTGAGCTTGGATTTTACCAGATACACGGTTGGTACATATTTAACTGATAAAGATCCATATGTGCCTGACAATACATTCACCTACATTAGCAGTGCTTCAGAATACGCATCCGCATACATTCAACAATGGGAGACCCACAGTTCATGAGAAAGTTACTGTGGCATACATTTGAACATCAATTTAACTCATCAATTGTCAAATCCAGAATCCATACAAAATAGAACAATAGCAAACAATATAACCCTAGTTATAGATAGTCTACTTGATCTTCTTCTTGGGCCTCAACTGCAACATGTGAAAGGAATATTCAGTTTCTTAAATGATGATAAAAATACAAGAACCCAAAACCATAGAACAAACCTGATTGCTGTGACCACACTTCTTCTTGCGGCAGTTCACGGCTCTCGGATGCAGACGAGCATAACACCTACCAACCACACATCATCAAGCAATTATTACTTCCCACAAAGATCATACACAACATTAGAGCAAAGCAATAGGCTCTTCAAAATAATCATTTACTTTAACCTCATCATATATAAAACATCAATCTCCATAACAGTTGAACTATAAAATGACCACATTATTAAAAGGTTTAGCAATTAATCCACTTAACTGCCTTGATCATTAATTATTAACATAAATGTTAATGCGACAATTAAATAAATTTGTATAATTAGACATTAGATCTTCATTACTTACGTCCTATCAAATCGATACTAATTTTAATTTGATTTAATCATCCAATCAAATCATAACATGAGTCGTTATTTATTTTATTTATTTACTTTTAATTTACTATTTATTAACCAGCAACGTGTTGGGTAGCATTACATATTTACCTTATTTATAGGCATTAAAGAAAAATAAATAAATATAATGCAAGGATTTGAACTCAGATCTAATAGGGCATGAGAGGAGATGCTTAACATTTGAGTTAAATCTAATACTTGATTAAAAATAGCATATTATATATAATAAGTTATAATTAATAACTATTCCTATCATAAAAAGAGTACCCATTCGAGAATTTATTGAATATGAATGTTAAATGAGAAATAATTAGATAATGAGTGATATTTGGTCCTTTCCCTTCTTGCTTTTTTTTAATTTAATTTATCTTTCATCAATAAAATTATAATATTAGGGTCTGTTTGTTTCCCGTAATTCGAATTACGGAATTGGTTTTCCCCGAATTCCAGTGTTTGTTTCACGTAATTCGTTTTCCGGAAAATGTTTCCCCGTGTTTGTTTCACGTAATTCGTTTTCCGTAAAACGTTTTCCCGTATTTGTTTCACGTAATTCGTTTTCCGGAATGTAATTCATTTTCCTAGTAACATGATTTCCTTTGTGTTTTCTGTAAAATGACTTACAGATTCATTTTCCGTAAGTCATTTTCCGAACTTTTCACTTCAAAGCAAAAATACTCAAAATAATTTTATTTTATGAATTTAATATTAATAAAATATTTTAATATCATTTTCATCAAAATATTAATTATTAAAATATTTAAAATATATTTATTAATATTTATAATAATATTATATTATATTTTTAATATTATATAAAATAATCAATTATATTATAATAATATAAGATATTTTATTTTATTTTAATAATATATAATAAATTTTTTATATATTTAATAATGAATAATATTATTTTATATATTTCAATAATATTTTAGTAAAGATATTTAAAATATACTAATTAATATTTTTAAAATATAATATAGCATTATTACTTTAATAAATAATGTTTAAATAATATTATTTATTATATTTAATATTTGTAATAAATAATTTTTAAAAAACTCTTCAACTAGTGAAAAAAATGTTTAAATAACATCTTCCAAACATAATAAAACGTTTTTCCAGATGTTTTCCAGAAATGTAATTCATTTTCCAGAAATGTAATTCATTTTCCAGAATTCAAATTCCAGTAATTCATTTTCCAGTAATTCAAATTCCAGTAATTCAAACTCCAGTAATTCATTTTCCGAAAAACCAATTACAGCCAAACAAACAGACCCTTAGTCATCATAAATCTTCAATTAGATAATGACATATATCACATATCTATGACTACATTTTCAAACTTCCACATCAATCTTTTTCATTGCCAATATCGTAACGATATTTTTCAATAATTAAATGCAACATAATTTAACTTTTAAATTTTATTGCCATATAAAATAAATATTAATATTAATAATAATAGAATATTAACAAATTCTTAACATCTAAATGATTAGTTACTTAAACTTATGGCTCCTTGCTCGAATATAAAATTCAATTAAAAGTATTTATTTTATGATGATAATTTAGTAAAAACTTAAATATATATTTTAATGAAATAATCATATAACATACTTCGCACAATGGAAAAAAGCTAAGTCTGTCCCTCTTAAGAAAAAAGCTAAAACATGGAGAAAGAGATAAAGAAGAGAAGCTTACTTGCGGCAAATCATCTTGTCCTGGTTGTATTTGCGAGCCAAGGCCATCAAAGAAGGCTCGATAATCCCTCCTCTCAACCTCAGAACAAGGTGAAGCGTTGATTCTGCGTCAAAGTAGATCAGCCGAAACATGTTGAAAGCACAAAAGATTAACCTTTCTGGATATTGTAGTCAGCCAAGGTACGGCCATCTTCGAGCTGTTTTCCGGCGAAGATGAGTCGTTGTTGATCCGGTGGTATTCCTTTGTTGATTTGGGAAAATAAAACTTTTTTAAATTCAATCTAAGAAGTTAAGGTGAAAAAAAAATGGAAACTTGAATGAGGAGAAATTACCTTCTTTATCTTGGATCTTGGCTTTGACATTGTCAATGGTGTCACTGCTCTCGACTTCAAGAGTTATGGTCTTGCCGGTTAGGGTTTTCACGAGTATCTGCATCGTCTTCGACCTGTCCCTCCACTAAAACAGTAAGCGGCTCTAACCATTGATTCTTAGGGGTTTAAAGTCATTTTCAGGGTTTCCTCTTTTTGAGGCCGAAATAGTATTAGGCCTTTTTCTATGAGCTCAGAACATTTAGGCCCGGAATAAATTTTGAGTTTATTTATTAAAGAATTTAGAATGTATATTATAATACATTAATGATACAACTTAATTTTTTTTTAAAAAAAATATTATCATGATTCTTACATTGTTTTTTAATTTTTTTATTAAGTTAAGATGAATACAAATTAGTATCTGTTTTAAATATTCTCAACCATTTTAGAATGAACGTTCAATTACCCTGTTGCACTCGCTGAAGCTCGAACCAGTGACTTCTAAAAACAACAACGATTCCTTTAACATTAAAGTGGCCCTTAAAATGTTAGCATGTTTCATAATTTTCTTATCACCATTTGCATGTGATTTCAAGTTATGGTCATGAAGTTAAGGGTTCTCGATGGGAGAATCACTATAAATGTGTGTAGCCATCAAGCTTTCTGAATCATACCATCAACTGAGGTGTTTGGATGTTTAATAAACCTTAACATTTCTATTTTAGCCTTTCGTGTATAAAATAAAATCCAATATACTTAATGGGACTCAATATTTTAATTTTAAAATTTAATTGAATCCATTGAATGATCTTAGTGGTTTCTTAAGATCCTGAGTTCAAGCAGACAAAGTATATATATTGTCAATTATTAAGATTATAAATAAATGCTGCATTATAGGGAACATCAATGAGACAACATTTCCTTGGGGCAAGAATTCTATATGGATATTGAAAATATTACAGCCATTAAACAAGTAGGAAGTTCTCATCGGCGATAAGGCCATCGAAAACTAAGGATGTTAAATTGTAGTTCCAAAGATTGACTTCCCAGGAAAAAGATTGACTTCCATTCCAGAACCTAAATGTGCAGCAAGTGAAATGGACAAACAAGCTTGATTGTAAATGAAAAATTGTTCATTGAAGAAAGATAATTCCAAGCATCACTGTAGCCATACTGTTTAATAGATATGAAGCAGAGAATCACAGCCTTCTTCCACGTCTGCCACCCTTTTAGCGGGTACTGTCCGTGGGAATAGGGGTAACATCCTCTGAGGTGAAAAAAAGGATACATGTCACTTGTCAGCGTGCGTATACAGGAGTTGAAGTGACTGGACTTAATAAAGAACAATTTGGGAAATGGAAGGATGAAGGAAATGCGCATATTCGACCAATTTTCATGCCGTAACGAGCAAGAGCTCGAAGTGCTGATTGGGCACCAGGACCCGGGGACTTAGTCTTGTTCCCACCGGTAGCATGGAGCTTTATATGAAGGGCAGTAATACCCAACTCCTGCAAATAACAAATACGAATCCGCATCAGTTCGCCACATATTAACTATATATTGAACTATAATTCAGAGGGTAGGCTATAAACCTTGCAGCGTTGAGAAACATCTTGAGCGGCAAGCATAGCTGCATAAGGAGAATATTCATCCCTATCGGCTTTCACCTTCATACCACCTATTGTTAGGAAAAAGCCAGGGATAAGTTGGGAGAATATTCTTCATACGAGTAACTCCATACCAGAACATCAAATTACCACCACGCGTTGCAATGAGTAATCAACATCCTTTTTACAATTTGGACTTTTAATAACTAGTCAGTTTCCTATAAAAAAAAACCAACAATATCAAAGGCCGGCAATGGTAATAACGTAAAAAAACCAAGATCGACGAATCACTCGTTTTCTAAACAGAACCATAAATCATACCAGTGATGCGAACCATTGTTTCCCTTCCAGACAAATCAGTCACATGCTGCAAAAATAAAGATCATTAGCTCGTGTTTCTCTATGAAAGATGTAGGCATAATAGTAACATATGAGTGAAGATGGAGGAAAACAGAGTGGATGATTTCGAAGAAAAAGCCTTCTTCTCATTCGTTGTTGGAAGATATTTATGACTCTAGCTAATGGAACTATGTAAATGATCATTATGGCTACTCATAGGTCATCATGTTAAATAGATTTGATCGACAAATGTTAGATTTTACTCTTGTAAATTATGTGGGGCTATCAAGGATCTTGTCTTGCACATACACTACAGTTGGTTTGGAGGCTATGATACTAATGTGCACGAAGAATATGAGCTACTTGGAGGCTTTAGTAAGCAGTGGAGTTTGTCTGAAGATCTCAGCTGGTAAAGAGTTGGCAATCTTCGAAGATAGCCTCTAAAGGTATAATAAATTGTCCCCTCCTTAGTCGAGGAAATATAAATTGATGCCTCTCTATGCTGTGCTACTTAGTGGAAGACTCCGATATAAATTAGCCCCCAACATTTGCACAAATAATCACTTTGTCCTATATTTTTTTTTAGGAGTATTGTAACCCTCAACGTTTCAATTTTTATTTAAAATAATCCCTATTAGATAGAAAACGTTAATTAACTAACAATCAACACATGTTGATGTGATACGTGTCACATTATCAATTAAACACATATAAAAATATCACATTAACAATATACGTTGACTATTAGTCCAACATAAACTATTTTGACAAAAAAGTAAAACGTTTTGAGTTCACGTACTCTAAAAAAAAGATGTGAATCAAAATGACCATTTATACAGATGTTATGAGCTAATTGTTCATTATGCCTATAATATATCTAATCTAATTTAATGTCTAAGTAGTAGACCCTTTTTCATCAATTCTCTCCGATAATAATGTTGTACGGGTAGAATTGATTTTTTTATTAATTTAGAATAAGTATAAAATAATATCTATTTAAATAATATTTTGAGCATGAAAATAAAAATATTATAATAACTTGGTTATTAATGATGCAATTTACTCTATAAATTTAAACAAATGCAATTTCATAATTATGCACTTGTTGATGATAGCTGATACAATTATATGTTTTGTTAAGAACTCAATTAGTGGTCCTAATTGCAATATGTTTTCTCAAATCAAGATGGAATATAAATATTGTACGTTGTTTTCAAGAAAAGGATTTGCATGGACCAAAATTAACATCATCATCATTCAAATTTGTTTTTTGTTTTGTCAAGAACTAATATTTCTTCATTAATTACTTCAAATTGATTATATACTATTAAACGAAAACGAACAAGAAAAAAATTAAAAATAACGATTACAAATAAGGGTTAAGTACATAAATGGTCTCTTGACTATAGGGTACTACTTTATTAAGTATCTCGACTATTAAAAATTATAAAATGATACTTCGACTATAGAGTGTTGCTTTGTTGAGTACCCTGACTATTAAAAGTTACAAAATGGTCACTTGACTATTCATTATATTCCAAACTTGTCCTTTTTCTATTAAAAAATTGATGGTGTTCTCAGCTGAATGTTAACCTACTGACTATGATATGATAAAATATGATATTATAATCTCAAACGACTATCATATCACAGTCATTATGTTAACGTCCAGCTTAGACAATCGTCAAATTTTAACGGAAAAGGATAAGTTTGGAAGTTGGGTGACCATTCTGTAACTTTTAATAGTCAACGTACTTAATAAAACACCATTCTATTGTTAAAGGTCTATTTTGTAACATTTAATAGTCAATGCACTTAATAAAATAGTACCTTATAGTCGGGAGACTAGTTATGTACTTTACCCTTTAAATAATTGCTAAATCTTTAGTTGGACTTAATATGAATGATTATATAAAATTACTTTTAAATTATCATTAAAAAGTTTAATAAATGTTTTTTATTGATAGAAAAATTAATAAATGTTAGGCGTAAGAATTTGATACATTATATTTTTAAATTTGAAATGTCATTATCGAGTAAAATAGACATAAGCAATAAAAAAAAATCAGTTTAGAACAAAAATTATAAAACTTTTGCGGGTTAGATACGTCTTAAAAAATCCTAAAATGTTAGTCGGCAAGTTCACCCTCTTAATATAAAATTATGCGTTTTCTAACTAAAATTTTTGAAATATTGAGAGGCTTAATGAGAATTTTTTAAAATTATGGGAATGTGTCTAATTAAGAATGTTAAAAAAAATTTAAAATCCAATTCGAATTTCTAAAACTTTTGAGAGGGATAAATTTATATTTTGAAAATTATAAGAATCTAAATTATAAATTTTTAAATTTTGGGACATAGCCCCCACTAGTCTCTCTTGTGTTTTGTCATTGATTACGTATATGTATGGATGGACTGATGAAAATGACTGGGGGACAATTGTTTTCTAAAATTTTTAAATTATCATATATTTTAAATATTAGGGTAAAGTATAGTAATGGTCATTGAATATTTTTGAAGCTTGTATTTAGGTCCTCCAACTTTTAAAACTTGCAATACAGTCCCCTAACATTTATTCCGTTTGCAATATGATCCCCCAACTTAAATCACTGTTAGAAAATTAGGGTAAATTATATAAACGGTCATTGAACTTTTCAGGCACTTGAATTTAGGTACCCAACTTTTAAAACTTGCAAAACAGTCCCCAATAATTTTATTTTCTTATTAAATATAGATGTATAGAAAATATAAATGATTCAATTTATATTTAAATGTATGAATCATTTATATTTTTGATATATTTTATTTTTCTTGTATAAACTAGTATTTAAAATATGTTTATATTTTAATCAAAATATTTCAATATACGAATAAAAATATATTTATATAAATGTATATTTATATTTAGATGTATAAATAAAAATATATATTCATATATTAATGTATGAATCATTTATATTTTTTTGAATATTTTATTTTTAATAAGAAATTAAAATTATTAATTATATTAGAAATACTCAACTTAAGATTATATATATAATCATGAATTATAAATATGAAAAATATATTATTAAATTTAGTTTAAAAATATATAAATCTTAAATTTATTCTTTTAAAATATTGTATCAACTAATATTTAAAAATATATTAAATCTATCAAACAATTTATCATATATAATATTTTTTATTGTAAAAAATATAATATTTTCCCATCATTTATTGCTTTCAAATTTTTTGCCGAAGTTCAAATCTCATTATTTCCATTTTCCATTATATTCTTTTTTTTCTGGCATTGGTCATACTATTATATATGTATTATTGTATATCTCTTAACACAAACGATGGTGTTAGCTTAGTGGCTCCACCCTGTATCTTTCATTTGCGTGACTCAGGTTTGAGTTTGCCCAAGACCCAAATTTTACTTCTTTGTAACTTAATTTTCTTCTAATTAGGTGGTGACATGTGTCACCAATAACATATATCATGATCATGTGTTAACACATGTCAGATCCTGGTTAAATGATTAATTTATTAAATTTTATTTAATTTAGGACCAAATTGATAGCATATATAAATAAATTAGGTGGTGATATGTGTCACCAATGACACGTGTCATGATCATGTGCTAACACATGTCAGATCTTAATTAAATGATTAATTTATTAAATTCTATTTAATTTAGGACCAAATTGATTATATAAATAATAAAGACTGAATGTATAATAATGTCAATTCATTTTAACTGCCACTTCATCATTTGTATCAATTGGTAACGACTAGTGGCTTAGTTGAAACAGTTAAATAATTATGTTGTATGATTGATAAATTTAAAAGATCGATGACAAAAGTAAAAAGGGCTAGATAGTTAAGTTGTCAACCTAGTAGTTTACACTTTTATTTATACGTCAAAATAACATTTTATAAATTTAAAATTCGAATTATTTTCAACCTCTTCTATATCCTAACTACTTTTTTTAATTAAAAAATTTCTTCAACAGATAAGAATTATACTATTATATTTATATAAAAAATACGTATCACATGAAATAAGATGAAATTAAATAATAATAAATCTGACATAATTGAATTTAATTGAATTATTTTGGAATTTAGGGTTTAGAATGAAATTGAATTACTTTGGAAATTGGGGTTTAGAATGAAATTGAGGATTGTTTTGCAAATTTTAAAAGTTGGGGGACCTAAATTCAAGTGTCTGAAAAGTTCAATAACCTTTTATATAATTTACCCTAATTTCTAACTGTGGTTTAAGTTGGGGGACCATATTGCAAACGGAATAAATGTTAGGGGACTGTATTACAAGTTTTAAAAGTTGGGGAACCTAAATGCAAGGTTCAGAAATGTTCAGTGACCATTACTATACTTTACCCTTAATTTTATTTTTATTAATATTATATTTTTGTCTCTAAAATTTTATAAGTGTTTAAATATAATTTAATATATTAAAGGAAGAAAAAGAAAATAAGAAATTTTACAAATCTATTTGTTGGAAAAATATTTTTAAAATTTTTTAACATTTTTTAAATTCTTAGATCCGGCACTGCCATAGATGCATACATACGTATTATATAAAGAGAAACTTTAAGCTCACTACTCAAAATACTAAAGGAGCATCTGAATACAAAATTAAGGGAAGAAAAAAAAATGCTTGATTCGATGATGCTCATAATTATTGTTCCATGTTTATTTCTCATAGCTTTAATAAAGTTCTTTTATGATTACTTGTGGATACCTCTCCGTCTACAACACATGATGAATTCACAGGGAATCAAAGGACCTCCTTACAGATTCATCCATGGAAACAACAAACAAGCTGCTCAAATAAAGAAGGAAACCTCGATCAAATCTACGGGCTTGACTCATGATATATTTCCCAGAGTGCAGCCACATATTTACTCCTGGCTCAATAATTATGGTAAGGTCATGGACGGGTAAGTTCACCCTCTTAATATAAAATTCTGCGTTCGTCCCCTAACGACGGGATGTTTGTGTTTTATGTGATCAGGGAAGAACTATCTTTATTGGAAAGGTACTCAAGCTGAACTTGTGATCACAGAACCTGAACTAGCCAAAGAGATACTGAAGAACAGTGAAAAAGCTTTTCTGAAAAGGAAGCTGAATGCTTTTGATAGCAAGATACTGGGGGAAGGGCTCGTGATGGCGGAGGGTGAAAAATGGGTGAAGCTACGGAGGTTGGCCAATTACGTTTTTCATGGCGAAAGCATAAAGGTAAAGCCTCGGAACTATATTCTTCTTCTGGTGCTTGGGACTATATGAATTATTGAATATGATGCGTATTGGATGATTGTTTGAGCAGAACATGAGTCCGGCAGTGATATCTAGCGTCGAAACAATGCTAGAAAAGTGGAAGGTAGAAGAAGGCCGTGAGATCGAAGTGTTCCATGAATTCAGATTATTGACTTCGGAAGTAATATCCAGAACAGCTTTCGGTAGCAGTTACGTGGAAGGGGAGAAGATATTCAACACGTTGCACAAGTTATCAGTAATGAATATGCGAAATATCCACAAGAACAGAATCCGTTTCATAGGGTATATATGTTAATGTTACCCCTAAGCTTGATTAATCCCAAGCTTTCTCCTTGTGCATAGCCTGACCTCGGTTTTTTTGCTTTCACCAGCAAGTTCTGGAGAACTGCAGATTTGGTGGAGGCGGAGAAGTTTGTAAAAGTAGTGAAAGATTCCGTGATGGAGATCATTAAGAAAAGAGAATACAAAGTGTTGAATGGAGAAGCTGAGAGCTTCGGCCATGATTTTCTGGGGTTACTTGTGAATGCCTATCACGAACCGGACGAGAAGAAAAGGCTATCCTTTGAGGATCTGGTAGAGGAGTGCAGAACATTTTACTTTGGTGGACAAGAAACTGTTCATTCCTTGCTTTCATGGACGGTTTTGCTTTTATCCATCCATGGAGATTGGCAAGAGAAAGCAAGAAGAGAGGTTATGGAAATATTTGGTAACCAAAATCCACACCCTGATGGCATTGCCAAACTCAAAACGGTAAGTAAATTATACACCCTGCACACATAACTGCTTGAACCCGGATTTTATAAGAAAAATATTATTCCTCTTATTACTGAGGTCACCCGTTGAGTTCGAGTTTAGTACATCTAACATGTTTCGATAATGTGACAGATGAGTATGATCATTAATGAAACTCTGAGATTGTACGGTTCGGCGAATTCTATGCCAAGAGAGGTTGCAAGAGAAGTTCGTTTGGGAAAGCTAGTGCTGCCTGCTAACATGCATCTGCTGATTCTGAACACTGCACTGCACCATGACCCTCAACTGTGGGGTGACGAAGTTCATCTCTTTAGACCGGAGAGATTCGCCGATGGGATCGCCAAAGCTACCCGATACAAACGCGGCTGCGTTTGTTCCCTTCGGATTGGGGCCTCGATTTTGCGTTGGGATGAGCTTTGCAATCACTGAAACCAAGGTTGCTCTAGCCATGATTCTTCAGCGCTACGCCATGACCCTCTCCCCTGCCTATGTCCACAATCCAGCTCTCATTGTCACCCTTCAACCACAACATGGGATCCAAGTCATACTCGAGCCACTGCATAATGATGATTGATATGATTCGGTGGTAAAATAAAATGTTGTTCTTCTTGAAAGATGATATATATCAACTATGAGTATCTTTTATTCACAATCAATTATATCAGTAGCGAATCTATAAAAACTTCATCGACTGGGCCAATATAAATATTTATCCAAAATAATTCATATATATATTTTAATTAAAAAGGTAATAACAATTATACGTGTATACATATATTTGACTGAATCTAGAAAAATTATATCAACTAGACCGATAACACTTTTTAATATAAGTCATATTTTTATACGCTAATAATCCCTTTTCTTTTTGGCATGTCTTATTTTGGTCAATGTTCTTGAAATACATTTTAGTCATTTACATTATCAATTTATTATATATTGGTCACTGGTCGTTAACTCTCATTAGTTTGCTTATGTGACATGTTAGTAAAAACGATTTAATTTTAACTTTACCCTTATATTTAGAAAAATACTAATTTAACCCTAAACTTTAAATGAAGTCTTAATTTAACCCTTAAACTTTAGATAAATTATTTTATCTATAGTTTAGATGTTAAATTAACATTTTGTCTAAATTTTAGTATTAAACTAGTATTCTATCTAAAATTTAAGGGTTAAATTTAATTTTTAGTAACATGCCACGTTCCGGTGATCAAAAATAAGGTAGATCGAAAACAAAAAAGTGACTAAAATGTAGTTTCTTTAAAATACTAACCAAATTCAAATTGTCCAAAAATTAAGGGGGCCACAACTATAAGTTATCCATTTTGATTTGAATGGTGTTCTAACTTTTTGGGGCATAGGATTGGCAAGGGCCTACGTAGAACTAGGCCTACATACGTCCCTGAATTATATAGTCTAAATATAACTAGGGTTCGGTCAAAAATAAATAAATATAACTAGGGTAAATTTTAAATTTGGTAACTTAACTTTACTCTTTCTCGTGTTTCACTCTTTGTATTTTAACTTTTTTTCAATTTTCTTACTGAACTTAATACATTGAGATTTTTTGGTCACTCGGCCGTGAAATAGGTAGCGACTTTAAAATGGGCAGTTATATAAATGCAAAACGATGTCTTTTTGGTGAAATTTTTATTTTTTTTAAAACGGTTTCGTTTTTAATACCGTTAACTATTTAAGGGTGGAGTGACCAAAGTAGGAGAGAGAATAAAGTTCAGTTACAAAAAAAACTCAATGTATATAGTTCAGTGAGAAAATTGAAAACTTTTAAACTTCAATGAACAAAATGAGAGAGAGTAAAATTTAATGATGAGATTTACCCATATAACTATCATGGTCCTTATTCAATCCTAAAGTGATATAAATCATATAATATCTAGTAACTAACAATAAAACACATATGAGAAAGGCACTTATCATCCAAAATTGTTCTTTTTTTTTTTTTGCAACAATAAATAATATTTATGCATTAATAACTTCAAATTAATTATTTATTATTAAACGAAAAAGGAAAAAGAAAACAATAATAATTTAGTATTTCTGAATGTATCATTGTTGTATTAATAAAATTCTTCTAGCTTAGGCGTAGGGTGTATCTAAGAGTATAGAGCCTCCTTAGAAAACATTTAAATAAATTGCTAAACATGTCTTAAAATTAGATTATTTGTCTAATTTGTTGGCTTGGTCTGAAAGGCTATTTAAAGTTTGTATCAACTTCGATTCAATTTTTAATTTAAAAACACTTATTAAAAATGATTTCTTACAAGTGGTGGATTGGTATTGGATGTGATTGGTGAAATTTTTTGTCTCTCATTGACATTTATTATAAATGTATAATAATATATAACAAAATTAAATAACAGTGTCCTTTAAATATGCTGATATTTTCTGTTTGCTAAAAAAATGAAAGATACTTTTCCCAGTAAAAATGTCATTTGATTAAATGACATGAATGATGCTTGCCAACAAGCAAGCGGTTAAAACTAGACGTGGGTCAAACTGTACCACAACTGGTACAACATAAAATTGCAGAACTAGCTCCTGCCATTCCTCAAAATCTTCGAACCATCCAGGATGAGGAGTGAATACAATGATAACAACCCGGTCTTCATTCGTTACGCGGGGGAGCAAGCTTCGAGCTTAGGAAGGACACTTCGCCAAGCGTCTGCAACGCTATTTGCCAGTCGGGCCTGTCCCTTGGCAAATTCATGAAAAGCAATCCCCATGTCTCGTGTTTTTGGTTCCTGGAAACGTACAATCTCTTCATTCATCAGTCGAACTATCGTCTCGAATCTTCTTGTTGCCTCCTCACTTGCTGCCTTCAAATGCAACAAATAAAACTGATTGTTAGAGGAGGCAAAAGCAATAAAGGCCTAAATAGGCATAAAGTGAAAGCCTGGATGGGATGACTTGCCTCCTTGTATTCATGCTCAGCTTCTCCCACTCTGTCAGAGCGTGTTAGCATGAGCTTGTCACTGCAAACATTGGATCTCAAATTACAAACCTTATATAAGAAATGCTGGACGTTTTAAAGATTGTTCAAGTAAACCGCTTGTGCAATTATCGTGCAAACAGAACACAGCTAGTGGCAACAAAAGATGGCTAAAAAGGTTGGGAGGGGAGGCGTAATGTACGGATGACCAGAAGCATCCAGATTTATCTCCTTCAACTTCATTGTTTCAGCCAGTTCGCATTGTTGCCTCAATGCATTGGCTCTCTCTCCTATTGTAGCCTGTTACACAAATTTAAGTGGATCAGCAATGAAATTGTTACCAACCATCCACTTCAATATTATCATAGGATGACAAAGGAGCTCATCTACGAAGATGGTTCCATCACCGGTTTCCACAATACAATTACATTTACAGTTAACTATTTCAGTATTGCAGGTAAAAATACATAGTTCTTCAACATTTTCTCAAGGAATGCTATATACGGCAACGAATAAATGCCATTCATCATAATGTAGAATAAAGAGGGCAGTGCAACTCACCTTTATGGACTGAACAGCACGAACATAATCCTTCAAGGGTACTTCAAAATTCATTAATAGTTGATGGGCCTGTAGTCAATTTTATGATGGTGAAATGTAAGGCTACTCGTATTAACCACTTAAGGAAAATTTTGGGCCTCATATATAAGGCCACAATTATGCATGCTTTCAAAGTTAGAAGACGAACAACCTTCAAAAAGAAGGCTCAACGTTAAAAGACAGCAGCTTACCTCCTTCTGCAGTTTTGCAGATAGCAATTCAGATTTAGCGCCAAGATCAGAAAATGCCTTCCCAAGAGCTTGTCCTTCACAAGCACCGAGAAGCTTGGCTGCTTTACCAAAATCAGATAGTGACTGCCCCAATTCTGGGAATAGTCAAACAAAAAATTGTTCAAATTTTTGTCCAAACCAAAAAGAGACAAACACTTGATAAAGATATAAATGAGAAGCATACAGTGTTTAGAGCCTAAAATTACAAGACGATATGCATGCTTCTGAGCTTCAGCCAAATGATTTTCAAGCTCAAAAACATAGTGTTTAACTTTCTCATATTCGGGATTTGATTCTTCAACAGGTTTTTCCTTTCCAAGGACATCATCACTCACCTTAGACTGTACATCCTGTTAAGTTTCTGGACAAATTAATTCAAGACTAGGAATTTTACTACTATAAAGTATAAACATGTCATATTCAAGCCAGAGGAACCGGCTTCACTAGAATGAAACATAAAATTAGCCAAATATTACATGTTAAAGCAGTACCAAAAGGAAATGAAAACACATTATAGAAAGCAAGTAGTGAGTTTCCACTGTTCTACACCTTCAAAAAGAAAGAAAAGAAGGGGAAAAAAGGGAACAAGTTATTTATGAAAGATATATAAGGTCAATTAGATGTCTTCTCACCTAAAACTGTGGTCATGTTTTTCTGACCGTGTGTTTGGAATTGATAGTTCAGCTCATTAAAGGGAAACTGAAACCTTTTAATTCATAAAGGGAGACTGAAATCTTAGTACCAAGTTACATAAACTGGAAAACTACTCCATAAAGAAAATAAATAAACAAATTTAAAAGTACAATCAAGAATCCCAAGGGAAAAAATAAAATTGCAATCTTAGCCTTAATTAGAGAATCAAAATAAATGACCTTTCCTATAGAGATTCGGCCCATAACATTACTCCCTCCTGTACAAAAAACTTGTCCTCAACCTCGTAGTTAGGATAAACTTAGCAAACATATTTTCAATTATCAGCACCACTGAATAAATCTCCAACATTCAATTTTTCAAAAATACAGCAACATGTTTAGACTTACCAAACTTCTACAATATAGAGTAGAGGGTTTTCTGGATTGGTTTAACAAAAAAGATGACAGTGGTATACGAGTTTAGGAAGGATTAATGAATAAGACAAGCAAGTGAAGTTGGTTGCAATTGCCATGTTTTTTGTCGAGATGAGTTCAGGACGGTTTGATGCATAGGATAAGAAAGAGTCAAAGAGAGATCTATAGAGGCTTCCATTGTTTGGGTTTGTTCAGTTGAAGGGTCTACTTTCACATCAACCATAGAATTACCAACATATTTACCAACAGTTATTTTATCCATTCCTTCATGCATTTGATCAAACAATTGGGCTTTGGTTTCAGCAGTACTTTCATCAATATTCTACAACGTACGATCTAATATATGCTTTATCTTTGTTTGCATATGCTCAAGCTTCTTGTGTATTTCTGCTCACCATTTGCCGACCTTTGTTCTTCCAATAACTTGGTTTTAAAAGGCGCGAGGCACACCTAGGCGCAAGGAGAAGGCGTGCCTTTTGCAGGCGGATCCTCATAATAACACACCATGCACAAATCATTACTAATTAATTAACATAGTGATAATATTAGGAATTCATTGAGTTAATATATTTAAGATTCAGGTGAAACCGGTTAAATTAGTCAAAATCAGAAGTTTGATTAAAGTCAATGATTTGAATAAAGTCAAAAATTCAATAAAAGCCTCGAAAATTCAATAAAAGTCAATCATATGATCAAAATCAATTTATTCAAAGTCAAAAGGTCACAGTGTATCTAGTCAATGGGTCAGATCGAGTATCCTCGACGAGTCAGATCAATTATGGTTAACTGATCGAATTGGGTCTTGTCAACGAATTAGATTGAGCTTAATCAACAACTTAGATCAAGACCAATCAACAGGTTAAACTTAATCTAGTCAACAGATTGGATCAAGTCTTATTAATGGATCAGGTCAGGTCTAATTAATAGATCAGATTGAATACTTAAAGTAACCCATTCTTTCAAAAGGTCACTTGTCTATTTTTGTCACTGGACTGCCCCTAATATCAAACTCAGTTGACATCTAGTGAGTTCACTAAACTGTTGGGGCTTAATGTTTTTAATTATAACTTGCAACTATTCTTCTCTATCAGTTTGCTTCGAGTCTTCTGTATGATTGCTTGATTAAGAAAATCCATTAGATGTTTTGATTCAATGGTTAAGTATGAGTTGTCTAAAGCATAGGTGCTACACCATTTTGAGTTTACTGATTAAGCATAGGTGCTATATCTTATCAAACAGGTGGGTTCTGGTTCTTGAAAATGGCATGTGGTTGTAATTTTTAGCTCATAGTTAGTCTGGTTTGCATGGAGTTCAAGGTCAATATACACAACTCTTCGAACTCGAAACCTCTAGGGATAATAAAGTGTTTGTTCATAATATTTTTCAGCCATGAACAATAGACATATACACAACCATTCGAACTCGAAATCTCTAGGGATAATAACACCCCCTTTAACTACCGATGTCACTCGATGACTTCCAACATTGTTCCTTGAAGATATATTAATGACATAAGGAAACATTATAAACATGGCAGGCAACCTTCATGATTAGGACAAGAGACAGTAGTAAGCAAAATGGCGGCTCATATTACTTTCTATGCAGCTTGCAAATCTTTGCATTATCTAGTAGAAGAAGAGAGCATCAAACAACAGCTTGCATAATTAGATTCTACTATTTCTAACATAAAAGTCAAAGAGAGAGAGAGTAGCAGGCATCCATTGAAGAACCTTCCCCACCCACCACAATCATCTTCGTACACTTTCATTTTTATGATTGTTAGCCTCTCTCCTAATGAAAATTTTAAGGTAAACTATACATTTAGTACTTAAACTATCAATTTTGATATGTTTTAGTATCTAAATTTTCAATTTTTTCAAAAACATACATAACATTTAGTTTTCATTTCATTTTAGTGCCCTGTCGTTAAAAACTTAACGTGTTTAATAGCTAAACTATCATTTTTAGTCCGTTTTAGTACCTAAGCTTCCAATTTTTTCAAGACTTAACGTTAAATTTTGAATGAGGGTACTGGAATGAAACAAAAACTAAAAGTTTTTAATAACGGATACTAAAATGAAATAAAAACTAAATTTTAGGTATGGTTTTGAAAAATTGAAAGTTTAGGTACTAAAACATATCAAAACTGAGAATTTAGGTACTAAACACGAAATTTACCCAAAATATTAAGAAGGCAGAATCCCAACAGTGCCCCAAATAGATTCCAAGACCACTTTGTTTCCCCCATTTGGCAATTTGCTTTCATCACCACTCTATGGAAACCTGCCTACCTCAATGTACTGATTGAGAAAATTAAAGTTTTACTTTTAATTTCTTTTCAACCATTTTTGACATCCCCAAGTGGGGAATGGGGCTGAACTCGATTTCTCGGGATTGTCTCAGGAAAGGCGGGTTAATACACGGCTAATATACGGCAGTACCGGATACATTAAAATGTATTTAATAAATTCGGTTTAGCGGTACCTATTATGTTGACAACTAATAATGTTTTAGGTAGAAAATATGAAAAACTATTAAAAAATTTGGTAACCGGTAAACTTTGGTTATCGGTAAGTATCTATCATTTTTATAAAAGTGTCCATACTTTTAACATATCAAGTAAATTTTACCGGTTTTATCATAATGAATCTGGTTTTGTCATATTTTTACTTGTTATATTGTAAAGTATCTATCCTTTTTATAAAAGTGTCCATACTTATTTCACTGTGAAAATATATTTATTATTATCTTTGGTTAATATTGTTAAATTTAAATTCTAAATAATATTTTATAAATATCAAAACAATCAATATTTTGTGTGTAAATGAAATTATTAAATTAATATTGTAGGTGGAAAACATGAAACACTATTAAAAAAATTGAAACATAAATTACATAACTTTAAAAAAAGTATATATCATTTTTATAAAAGTGTATACTTATTTCACTGTGGAAAACATATTTATTATTATCTTTGGTTAATATTGTTAAATTTAAATTCTAAATAATATTTTATAAAATATCAAAAAATCAATAATTTTTTGTGTAAATGAAATTATTAAATTAATATTGTAGGTGGAAAACATGAAACACTATTAAAAAATTTGAAACATAAATTACATAACTTTAAAAAAAGTATATATCATTTTTATAAAAGTGTTCATACTTATTTCACTGTGGAAAACATATTTATTATTATCTTTGGTTAATATTGTTAAATTTAAATTCTAAATAATATTTTATAAAATATCAAATAATCAAATAATTTTTTGTGTAAATGAAATTATTAAATTAATATTGTAGGTGGAAAACATGAAACACTATTAAAAAAAATTGAAACATAAATTACATAACTTTAAAAAAAAGTATCGATTCTTTTTATAAAAAGTATGGACACTTTCAATATAATAGGTAAAAATATGATGTAATAGGTAGCGCTTATATAATGTAATAGGTATCGTTTATATAATGTAATAGGTAGTTGTAAAGTATCTATCCTTTTTATAAAAGTGTCCATACTTTTTTCATTGTGGAAAACATTAATTTAAGGTTATCTTTTGAGTGAGTTTTAAGATATTAATTTAGTAATTATAGGCGTCTAATGATTTATTTTTTACGTTACGATATATATTATATTATATTAAAACAATAAACATATATATTACATTTATTATTATCTTTGGTTAATATTGTTAAATTTAAATTCTAAATATTATTTTATAAAATATCAAAACAATCAAATAATTTTTTGTGTAAATG